GAGAGGCGTGTTGATCGTGTCGGCATAGCAATTTTTCGACAGGTGTCTACTGAGTCCGATCCGTGCGGCAATATCCCTGCTGGTTCGTTAGGCACTACCACCGTCGTCCCAGTCTGCCCTTCAAGAAAACTTATGTCTGGCAACGCAGTGAATTACGTTGCAGCTGTATCATTCGCGTCCCCTCAGGCCTCAAATTTCATGCCCAAACTGAAGGATGCGAACAAGACTACTCAAGGCCGATGTGATCGAATTGACTCACAGAACCAAACAGCCCAAAGAAGGACACACGATCGCTTGGACAAGAACTTTTTTAGCATGACGTGTTCGGGGTGTTATAGCAGTCAGTGTCGGGGGCGGAGTGAGAGTGGAAGGGCGCGGACAGTTGCAGCGTTAGTCGACCTTCAACCACTGTAGGCGCGGAGCCCGGACGTGGTTCTTTTATGCGCATAAGATCAGTTTCCGTAACCTCATGGCGGCCACATTCGCTGTCGCTAACAGGCGCTGGCCTAGTAGCTTAGGGTGGCTCAATGGTACCTTATAAATTACACTAAAAGTTTCGTTGGGGGGGTTCATACGATATCCGGAATTGAGAACATGCGCGAGAATGGCGCTGTCTATTCTCCCAGTTTCCCCTTTTGCCAGCCATGCAGGAAGGTGTTGCCGTATTCTCTTAGATAAGCGCCGAATCGTGCTACCAATTACTTCATTGTGTCTCTAATGCTCCCTTCGAGTGAGGATCCAGTAGATCAGGCTTATAAAGCTCTTATTGTAGTCATCGCGTCCCCCTCTTCATGATTCTTCCTGGCACTCGCCACCTTGCTTCTCCTGGTTGAACAGCCATCATCGTGCAACATTTAATATAGCCCACTTTTACATATTTCCCCATGAGACGTTTTTAATATAAGAGGATCTGATTAAAATATGCATTAATTGTTGTACCGTCGCTGAAATTAAAAGTCTTCCATGGCGCAGATGGTAATGACATGCTCTCCCAATGTGTTTTGTGAGGTTGTTGGTCACAGATTCGGATCTCTGACCCAGAATCCATGGAACCTCACAGCGCAAACACTGACGAAATACGGCGTGGGCGTAGTGTGTCATTAAAATATGCTCCGTTTGTGCCTTACTTACGTATTTAGCAAATAGTTTGGCAATCTCTTGTGCCTACTTAGATGTCGGAAATGCATGCATGGATGGAAATAAAAAGGTATTCTTGCTGACGCTCTATTAAAATCTTGGGAATTATACAGCCCCATATGGTCCCAGAGAAATTAATTTGCTAGCTAAATGTAAAATATTTTCAAGTGTTTTTGAGTGATTCCCGCTCAAGTCAGAGCAGGGCTCGGTCACGCTGTCCTGCCGGGAGACGGAAAAGCCATGGCGCTTCCAGTACGAGAACCGTGGTAACAGGGGCTGTACGGGTGGAGCTTCGGGAAGACCCGGAAATACAGTGCGGGACCGATTTCATCATATGTTACCCTTAATTCTGGAATGTGCTTCCGATTAGGAAGGATTACTTTAGTTGGGTTAATATGCTGATTATCATGCAGCTTAACCCTATAACATTATGGACTCATCAGGATGTCTGCTTTTGAATGCACTTCTTTTTGACGTCCTGCAGAACCCCCGCTCGGTAAAAAAAAGTGACTGCTTAATTAGCATGCATTTTCTTATTGATTTTCGATGGTCTATTGAATTCAAATATATCTTATGGAAAGCATGCGCAAAAGTATGCTTTCTCTTGCTCATTTTGTAGGAAACCACATTTTCTTCATATTTCAGGCCCAAGGAAATTCTGTATTTAGGTTATGAAATTGTTTCCCATTTCCCGAATAGCTTTCAGCCTGATCTGCCCTTGCATCAACGTTTAGCAGTCCCAGTCTACAAGGTGCATGTTTTCCGCATAAGGAAAATATATATTCCTCTATGTCTTTAAGAAAATACCACATCGAGTTCATGAAATTTTGCAATGGTTCGGGACTGTGTTGTACATTTCATGAGGAGCATTAGTAAACGGACATGTGTGGTCTTGCACGCATGGACATCGTACAGTCTTAAAAATCTCATAATTAGAAACTTTGTTGAGTCCTAAGTGCACACTTTCTTCGGGCATAAAATACAAAGAAAATGTGATTTCCTTTCAAATAGGCAAATGAAATCATGTTTATGTACATGTGTTCTACAAAATATTTTTGGATTTACAAGACCATCGAAAATAAGTGAGAAAAATATATGTTATTTAAGTAGCCATTTTTTGTCAAGTGTTGTAGGAGGTCAAAAAGAAGTGCATTCAAAAGCCGACATCCTGCTGAGTCCGACATGTTTTGCATGATACTCAGCATAACAACCCAACTTAAGTAAACCTTCCTAATGGGAAACGAATTCGGTAATTTTGGTTAACATTTCATGAGATCGGTCACGCTCTGTATGTCCGAAAACTATTACAAAAACTGAAGTAGTAAAAGCAAATTCGACTTTCCTTCAAATAAACTGGATTCTCGTGAACCGTAGGACAAAGTCCTTAAGAAACTGTTCTATCGACGAGTGTTCGGAGCCAGTCGCTACGCACATAACTTTGTCAACCGCTGCATACGCAGACGAGGCAATGGGCCAAATCTCACTGATCCTAGACTTTGGCGAGGCCTTCCGTACATCAATAACGGCTCGGAAGCCGTCAGTCGCCCTATCGCACCACTTGGGTCCGGAGATATACATCGACCCCAGGCAACCATCTGGCGCACTTTAATGAGATCAAAAGACCCACACCCACGGCAAGAAACGTCTGGAGTGGTTTATTCAGCTTGATGCAGTTACGGACCAAGCAACATCGGAGAAATTAGAATACTGAACCTCGACGCGGATGACCGAGCACGCGGCGGTTGTGCGATGAATTGTCGCCATTTCTTAAGTCGCAGCTCATTCGACGATATCCGGCCAAACATGTAAGTTCAATGAGACCGACATTTTCGCGGAAGTTGACAATCGCGTATACCACAAACTACTTGCCTCACGGCTCGTTGACCCCAATATATGAACAAGTACAAGGACCTCTCCCCAGCATACTTGGTGCTAAGACAACCTGGGCAGAGTAATTAGTCTAGCGGTGAGCGCGCAGGCGAACACTTTCAATGGGCCACACGATCGAGTATTCATCGCGCCAACACCCAACGACTACAACGAAATTGCGGTGATTGATGACTCGAATTTCGGCCATCAACCATTATCGCACCAATTGCGACCATCCTCGAAAGCTGAGAAAGCCGGTAATTGTCCTGGGTGTGCGTTAACATAGCGACTGCGCCCTATTTATACTGAACACCTCTCTATTCGACTAACGTGTATCTGATGCCATCACTTATGATGGGTTAGAACATGAATCAGAAACATCAGGTGAACAGAAGTATTATTATAGGGATCACGTCTGTTTGTTGACGGCTAACTGGTACTCGATTTTCGGTTGTGCTCGAAAACTGCCGGTAAGTATAAACTATGCGGCTAGGTTAGGTTCACTGTTGAGAACCGTTTACTACATTTATAAGAATAGGCGTTTTTCGGTGGATTTGTTTGGTCGGAATTCAATCACGCCTTCACTGGTTCGAAGCCCGGCACGACGACATTCTTCTTGAACTGAACCTCCTCCTCCCCTTCCGTCTCGTCCTCTTTATTCTTATCATCGTCTTTATAAGCATTAAAAACACTAAACACGCTAGCGCCATCTTCATAGCAAGCACAATCCAAACTATCACCGTTATAAACGTAGAGTGAAGCCAGGTGTCACAGCCGATCGTGGCTTTGGAAATTCTATTTCTGCTCCAAAGACAATGTACAACTCAGAATATGACTTCTCAAATTGGCTGTCCATAAAAACGCTGTTGTTTTAATTCTTTAAAGGTTAATTAGATTGAGATCCGTATGAACATTATTCGCCAGCGGAATGGCAATACATTTTTATTATATATTTGCATAACTGCCAAGAGAAGGTTCAAGTTCGCTCAAAGGTTGCAGCCTCTGCAATCGCATGTAAGAATATAGTCACGAAGTGCATATGCGCGATAATGGCAAGGAAAGGACCACCGCACTAGACCCAAATAGAGATTCTGGGATACCTTCTTGAAGTCTCCCCACCTTTAGGAGCGAACACTGGTCCCTGGCATGTAGAAGTTTAAAATCGTCTTCTAACGCATGATCATCATCATCATCGTCATCATCATCATTCTGACTGTACTTTAGAATGATACAACTTGAAGTGCGTGCATCTACTGCGGACTGATTACTGAAACTGCGCCTGACAAATTTTAATCAACGACTTCGACTCCGAGAGAACCACTACTTGTACAAGGGTCATGCAACTTCTGCAAAGAACACAGACAACAGATTGTGAAATGGGTCGATGACCGTATTCGAAAGGGAGTGTTCTCAAGGGACGAAAGTATAAAATTAACAGCAAAACCGATGGAAGATTAGAAGGGTATACGGACGATAGGATAATGTATAGTCGGCTCCCTACAACGTCCACCTCGGCATCCACGTCCTCGCAGAAACCGCTTGACACGTTCACGAAATCGCACCCACCAGCCAGCTGGTGCGAGTGGATTAGATGCCCGTCCCGGTTCCTCCACTTCCTCTCCCTCCTCAGGCCTATCCACCGCATCCAGCGCATCGTCTTCCTCTCCTGCCTGCAGTCTTCCCTCTTCTGCCTCATCCAACCAGATCCTCTCCGTCGAGGCTGCCTGTGGCGTAGGCACATTCAGCAGAAGGATGAGGGAGAGGAAGACGAGCAGGAGAGGAAGCCGCAGTACTGCAACACAGTTTACAGACATGTTCCTTGTCATATGCCTTGATACTGTCCCCGTTGTATATCAACTTTTATACTTTACTCGACAGCGTGCGTGTGCGTTAAGATAAACAGAATGCGGACACCCACTCACAACCACACCCACGCGGTTGTTTATTGCAGACTGGTCATTGAATCCAGCCTACGGTTGACGGGACGTGGATGTGTTTTAAGGTGGTGGTGGTGGTGGTGGTGGTGGTGGTGGTGGTGGTGGTGGTGGTGGTGGTGGTGGTGGTGGTGGTGGTGGCAAGGATCAGACCCAGTAGAAGCCTGTCGACACACTGCTATGCGGACACGATCAACACGCATCTCATATGATAAGACTCATTCACCACGACCAACAACACCACCGCCAACACCACCCCAACCACCAACACCGCCATCAACACCACCACCACCGTGGTGGATGAGTCTCATCATATGAGATGCGTGTTCATCGTGTCCACATAGCAGTGTCGACAGGCCTCTACTGGGTCTGATCCTTGCCCAGAATATCCACTGACAATTTGCAGGCGTTGGCAGTGTTTGTGGTCTCCGTCGCTGGTCCGCTGCACTTGAGTCCTACGAGCCCCTGTCTCGTTGCGATGGCAACTGTTATTCATTGGGCTCTGAAATGTGGCTGCAGTAGTTTTACGGCAATACACTATACCTGTCATTCTTGGGCGAGGTCCTGTTAAGTATTATTTTTAGTATTCACTTTCTCATTGGTGGTCTGCAGAATGCCCCTACGACGTCTCTCCTGTTTGCTTTGTCCGCAAACAGTGACTTACAAAGCTAATCGCCTCGAAGTAGGAGACGCCGTTGCCGGAACAAGAGCTTTATTAGCCTTGCGTCTCGGATTTCCACTCAAATCTCTCATCAGAGGCAAAGTCAGGCAAGGGTGTTGGATTACCCAGGTGTTGCAGTATTTATGGGACGCGGTTGCTAGACCGCAGCATACCTCTCACAATTGGCAGCTCCCGAATGCGTCAAATGGGAAGTGGACAAATGACACAAAACTTTCCGGCTTAGTTGCCATTTCAAGACAGCCATTGCCCAAAACTGGATCGTGATACATGAAACCTACAGTGCGTGAGAGGTGTTAAAATTTACGAATGATTTCTAATCACTCTCCAAACGATACTGATGCGCGGACCCATATCCCCGTTAATAAATAACAACTGAACGAGAATAAAAACATAAATGAAGGGGTGAAGGTAGAGTTGCGTTTTTAGAAATATCGAGGTTTTTAGAAAAGCGGAGACTCCCGGAAACGCTGAAAATGTTAGCAATTGAGTAAACTTCAGTTACCGATGTACGGGAGGCCTGCCCAGGCAAAACACTGAGTAAATATGACAGCACAAATAAGATAACCTCGGAAAAAATCTCTCAGCGAACGTTATTTTTTTTATTATTTCTTGAGAATTAGTGCAACTTTAGGTATGACGGTCTGCCAACAGCCTACATCACAAGTTCAGATTTTTAAACGACTTCCCAAGGGTTTGTGGTATTCGTTGCGCCTCTGAAGTGATTGAACTACAGTTCAATTAGGCAAACCGGATTTTACTCGACTTTGTTGACGGGGACGTCATCGGAGCAAGGGGTTTCATAGAGGTACATGTTGCCAGATGGCTAAGCGACAAATTAACTTTAGTAGAAGTGCCGAATGTAATAATAAACATAGCATTTTGTGTATATAAAGAAAACCTTTCTCCCATGAGCTTTATTGCACTTTTTATTTTTTCTCGATTTTGTTGAGTTTCAAATTGACTTTGAAATTTTACTGAATAATTCATGACTCTCAGTGTCTTCAATTGATTGTCGATGAAGTCATATTATATATTAAGTGATTGCTAAAACCCTTAAAATAATATACTTCTTAAAGAATGTCTGGGCGTGTTTGGGTAATAGTTGAAGACTTGCCCAAGCATGAGACCTCATTGTCAAATAAAATCCTCGTCCAAAGCGAAAGTCAACAACGAATATGACTTCGCCAAATCAGAAACCTCCTCTGATAAATTATCTTTTTTAAAAGGGGGTCGGGTCTACCAGGGCAAGCTGAGGTTGACCACGTGGTCTAACTGTTTACATAGGTCGGGTTTCTCCCGCCGTATATAGGCTGCCTCCAGGTAGCGCAATAACCGAGTAGTTCGTGCTCGAACTAATATTCGAAAAGACGTTTTGGGGTCGACCGAATGGCCACTATCAAGGAGATGCAGAATATGAGTTCAGCTGAGTTGTAAGTTCTTTCAATGGCGCATCTCAATCGCCGCTTGATGGTATTTGAGATACTTGAAGCAATATTTCCCCGGAACGAATTTAAAGCAGGCATGGCAGCCAGGGCAGTTGAGCACCTGCCTAAATGACTTCTAAAGCAGGAGAATAAGATTCTACGGTCTTCTATTACAAAACACCTCCTTGATAGCGGTCAGTCGGTTGACCCCAAAGCATCTTTTCGAGTATTGGTTCGAGCACGAACTACTCGGTTATTGCGCTACCTGGAGGCAGCCTATATACGGCGGGAGAAACCCGACCTATGTAAACAGTTAGACCACGTTATCTTTTTTAAGGCATGTTATAATGCCGCATTCCACTGACAGTTGTCTGTGCACTGTGCATTTTTGCATATTGAGGCCAAGAAAAAATTTGACAATTTCGGCCGTCTTATTCACTTTGCTAAATAAACTGATATTTTTATACTGCAAACGTAAGAACATGCCTTTCCGTTTATATTGCGTTCATTTTCAACACCTTTGTTTGCTTATAGGCTGCGTTCTGCGATTATGAATGCACGGCAGTGTGGCCATGTAAATACTAAACTTTTGGTGGAAATTAATATGGTTCTCGATCCATTTCTAAATTACGTATGCTAAGAAGTCAGACCGCACGAAAACTACCCTTTCATATGTTCAAAACTGGAACTGGCAATTCGGTGGTAGTCCTTTTTACGACAACCGATGCAATTTTCCATACTGTAGAACACATTCGAACCATTTAGACGAGGGATTGACTGTGTGTGTTACTACTGCATTTTAAGATACCAAATCGCACAGATCTGCTAAGATGACTAAAAGTCGATAAAACGTCACGTTCCATTTAAATAACTCGTGTGTCAGCAAGTTGATTCCCACGGTGAGCATCGGACAGAAAACGAAGTAACAAGTGATGCAAGCTCTGATCGCTAAAAGTCTAGAAATGAGAATGCTCTCCTGACAAAGAAAAACACGCTTGGATGCACAACAGAAGTTTATGACAGCTATCAGCATTGGAAATTGTCTAAATACATCGCATCGTCCATTATCAATCAAATTTATAAAAATTATACTTGAAAAATTATGTGGACATATTTTCCGCGCAAGAAAAGAACATTTCCAAGAAGAGGTTGGTTGGGCGAGAAAAATGCGCAACGTCAAATACGTCCGAAAATTCTGACAGCAGTTTCTGTCATCAAGTTTCATGAGCCAGGTCACGTACTCAGGAAGCATGAGGACGTAATCACACCTACTGAAATCGAAACAGTAGGTACAATTGTGGTTTCGTACGGCATGCTACCAAATGCGAACCTGCTGCGACGTCACGCAGACAGGTTGCACTTCCCGGTAGAGTGGTAGAGCCAGTGGGACGGAAAGTGAAGGTAGAATTTGTCAAGCGGGAATTGAGAAGAAATCGTCTCGTTGAATCGAATCAGTTCTCTAGATGCTTTCCATCAAAACACTACCTGCGGTTGTGGTCTAGATGACATCGTCGGAGAAACTCCATCTAACTACAGATGGTGCAAGTGCATTGGCACCGCCCCCGCAGCTCCTGCACTCAACCCTGACGAGCGAACACGTGAACCAGTGCACTTGTAAGTCAGCCCACACCAAAACCGCCCAGTTCGAAATAAATAATCGCTACCTCGTCGGTGGACACCATCTGTTTATTCTGACAGTTCGACCATCGGTTTCGATGATGTCCACCGTGTGCCCCACAGTTGCAGCAGCAATGGGAGCAGGGACGGTGACTTACGCAGGGGTTTATAGTGCCGGTGGACTTGCGTAGCATCTACCTACACTCTCTCCTCCTCCCTCGCCCGAGCCTAGTGTCAAGACAGAGTCAAGAAGACCGGAGACGAGGGAGGCCGCAGGTGGATTGCTCGGACGGATCCTTACCTTGGCGTTCCACGCACCCTTTGGTCCACACAGCAAGTGACCAGGATTTCAACCAACACAACAGAGAGGCTATCACGGCCGAAGCCGCACCTGGGCGTGCCGCCAACGCCTGGCTCGGATTCCACACTGTGATGGGAGTGCCATAAAGGCCACATTAGAAAGGAGCCACTGCAGCCTGACTCTCCGACCGCCTCCAGTCAAGAAGGAGGTCCAAGTTACCCCGTCAGTTGGCAACCTTCCAAGCCACGGCTTTTAGCGCACCGTGATAGCTTAAAGCGCGTCAGATTGTTTATAGTGAGGAAAGTGCGCTCAGTCATCGACCGCACTCTCCCTTCCCACTCCCAAACCCCAGCCGCTGTCCGAGCCGGTCAGCAGACTGGAGTGGGGAATGGGCGCGGTGGCTGTCTGTTTATTCTACTACTGCCTACACCAGCCGGCCAAAAATTATAAAAGCCGGTCTACATCAACGGACTGCCTCATACCACTGCACAAGCAACATGGCTGCAAATCATTCACTACCGCGACTGCAACAGTAGCTTCCTCATCCTCCTCCTGCTGAATGTTCACATTACGCAAGCAGCTGCCCCGGAGAGGGTCTGGCCAGATCGCCTAAATGAGGGAACCCTCCAGAAAAGAGACGAGAATGACGTGGAATACAACCTCTATGAGAAGGAAGAGGAAGAAGCAGTGGAGGACCCAGTACGTGCAGGCAATCCACTCACGTCAGCTGGCTGGTGGAGACGAGTTCGTGAACGCATCAGAGTTATCCTATGAGGACGCGGATGCAAAGAAGGACGTTGCCGTCGGCCGACTAGACATTATCCCATCTTCACTGTGCCCTTGTAATTTTCCATTC